AGATCTTCCTTACTCCTTCCTTTTACCTGCTTGATTGATTACTGTTTTATTTCTGAGATTTCCTTCTTTTCTTGTTGCAGCTTGAGAGGAAGATTTTTTTTTTTTTTTTTTAAATTTTCTACCTTTAAGCACCCTTTCTTTGTTTAAATTTGGATGGACGATGATCCCTTTTATATTTGAATTGGGTTTTGAAAATTGCAAAAATTTCGTTAACTTCAAGGCTGTCCGTCCTATTTCTATAGATCTTGTAAACAAGATCCAGAAAGAAACTTTTGTCTTCTAATTTTACTTTTTGGGTGCTTTAGCCTTCATGGATGAGGGTAATTTCTCTCTAAATTTCCTTTTACAAAGATTGAGATGGGATTTTAGAAATTAGAGATGGGATCCAGTGGCTGCTGGGTATATTTTTGTCTGTTCGATAAACTGCTGAAATTTGATGGTTATTTCCATTCCAGGGCTTCCTAGCTCATATTTCCCACATACAGGCACACCTGCATGCATGTATATGCCTGTCAATGTTTGAAATTGTATGTTCCTTATTCATACATGTCATATGTGTGTGTATTCTTTGATGGTGTTCCTTAATTATAATACATGAGCATGTGTTTTGTCTAATGTTTGAATTTAACTTTCCCAATGATTTACATTTCTCTTAACTGTTTTCAGATCTCCTCATTTTTATAGTTTTTCATATATAAATTTGTTAAACTTGTCCATAAATGTATTGGATTAAGGCAGAAAGAGAACTATGCTGCAATTGTCTTATTATATGGCCGTGCTATCTTTTAACCATAACATGAAATCCATGCAGTGTTTTAGAGTTCTGTCACATAAAGCTCCCAGATCTTGATTGTCCTGGGTTTCTTCACTGCATTGCTGAGTCTCACTATTGGTCTAACCTGTGCTAAGGCAGATGGTCAGTATGATTTTTCTCCCATCAAATGTTTCAAATCCTTTCTGTTGATGGCTTTAAGCTTGTTACCAGTTTTGTTGTAATTGCAATTACATGCATGAAACCACTTCCTCTCCATTTCTTATTCAATGGATGCTTATATATCCATTTTGTTGTTGCGTTGGAAACAAACTTAATTGCATGCTTGCTGCCATTTGCTGCTGATGTGAGCTTTCAAGTGCTCTCAATCCATCTGAATATATGCATAGTAACTGAAAGATAACCAGTACCCCACCCCCTGGTTCTTAATGGAGAGCCCTCTGAAACAACAGGAGCCTCTTTTTGGAGCATGGTTTTGGTGGACAAGCCTTCCGGCAATTGTAACTACAAGAGCAGCCACACTGTTGATGATGACTAGTAGACAAACTGCTCTGGCATATGGCTTGCCATATGGGGATGAATATTACTACGTTAATCCTATGAGGTAATTAAGACCATAGGAAAAAAATCAAAAGACTAAATCGAAAGGGACATGGTCTGTAATAAATATTCTTCACTTGTTTTCAGGATTTTTGCTTACGCAAATGTTATTGCATGTCTTTTTGCTATGCCGAGGTTGCTCTTCTTCATCGTTGGTCATGAAAGATTAATCCCTCGTTACTTCCTCTTATTCATCCAGCACTGGGTATGACTATAGTTCTTCAACTCCATGATTTTGGTTGATGTTATATTTAAATATAGTATGGATTTTGGGTTTTGCAGTTGCTGATGTCCCTGGTTCTCTGGATTGTTGCTGGTATGACTGCAGTGCAGTATGGCAGCCACTACATAAACAACCAGGCCCGATGGATGCCTAGCTGTGACCACCTGTCTGAGTTATGTGAAATATTACCCCTTTACTCCAAGTTTAGTTACCGATCATTCCTTGTGTTGCTTCTGTTGATGCTCATCACGACACGGCTAGTAGAAATTTAGATTTAGAATAAACAAAGGAGAAAGAAAAGGAACTAAAGAAAAGCTGTGTTTTTTTATTTTGGTTGCATCTTAGGCTTTTTGCAGTTGTGCTCTTATCTTAGCAATCTGAAGCAGAATCATAGCTTCATCTTGGAGTTTGGCGTTTCTGTCAAGCCTGCTTGAGATAGACACACGAACGCGAAGCTGGTATCTTTTATCTGTAATCCACACTAGAGTTGTTTAGAGCTTCTTTTGTTCTTATATTGGATACGTTTTAGTTTTTGGTTTTAATCCTTTA